CTTTGTGGAAAAAGCGAATAAGCTGTAGAAAACAACCCCTTAGTTCAAATATCATCGCCTGGTTGCTGTACTAAAAATATCCCTGCAGTTCAGTTAATGCATAAAAACTTTGTCTTTCCAGTAATAATAATAATGAGCAATGCCCTGATGTGTTGAGTGCTACCATAATAATGTTTTGCAATCAATGTTTTCAGTCAATATCCTCGTTTTATGGATGCAAGTTGATCTTTTGTTTTTGTTGAAAACAAAAGTTTTTTTGTTTAAGAAAAAGTTTGAAAGATATGTTCTTCTACAAATCGGTGTCTCTTCCTTGCAGCCTGCAGCAGTAAATATGTCTGAGGTGTTATTTCTAAACAACATGGGGTCTAAAACATCTGCTTACGCCAGATAAGCTAGTTTAGAAAAGTTTTTAACCGCTAAAAATCGGGTTGATTTTTTACATATCATAGTTGGAAGGGGATCAGTTTTAATCTGCGGGATTTCTATGCTTTAGTAATAAACATCTGCAACCGTTACAGAGATTAAACCATCGCAGTTGAAAGATGTTTTAAGATGTGGGGGTGCTTCTGTAGCCTCGTGAGACTATCCTGATCTCGCAAGCTTTCAAGATTTCACTCGCTAAACAGTCTGGAGACTCTCCGTTGAAGAAAATTTGGAGCCAGTCACCAAACCAACGTCCAATCAGCGTTGGCTTTGACAATTTAGTGTGGATATATTATAGGGTTTCATGCAAAACCTTATTTGGTCAAGAAGAGCTGTTCAATTCACACCATATCTGCACTTAACGACTTAGTGAGAAGTTTAAACGTTGCACATTTGTCTGAGGTTCAGATTGCTAGCTGTGTGCTAAGTTTGGTAGCAAAAAATATCAAGCAGCAGGTCCTCCTAGACCTCCGCACTGCCTCTAAATCTTTACTGGTGTGCAGCACTGGCTGACTTTCACCCCTGCTAAATGGCTAAAACCAGCATTATTCAGTAGGAAATTGTCAGAAAAATGAATTCTATCCATTTGAAAAACAGATTCATGCACAAAAAATGCATGTGTTAGCTTGACCTAAACAAAGTCCACATCTGAAGCCTATCCTGGACCTGTTTATAAACCTTGAAAATTGATGCTCACAGATTTTCTGGAACCAATCAGGATGAGCTAAAGTTACTTTACTGATAAGGATGAGCAAAAATCTACCATGAAACAAATTCAGCTTTAAAGTCGTAGGGAAGTCATATTTAAACATATTTAAACATGTACATAAATGTACTCTTTATCAGACTATATTGTCCCAAAAGTTAGAAATTTTATTTTAAAAAAATAAAATAAAATCCTGTCTTAAAATCTGTGTTATTTTCATTATCTTATGCAGACCTGTTAGTTCTACGTCAGCCTGAACACCTTAATTCGGCCAATCATATATCAACGGTCATCTGTCAATCAAATCTTTCCAGTCATAGCATCTTGATTCATGTGTTGCAGCTAATATACGCAACGGTTGAAATAATAATAATTTTCTTTCCCATTGAGTTCCGTCCCAGTGTTCACGGGGATGGACGTCTGTGTCTTCAGCAGGCGTAGAGCTAACAGAACTGGCAGCGTTGCGAGACGAGGGCTCAAACATGTACGGCTGTAAGCCTTCTACACCAAACCAAGCTTCTGCTGCCCTGGCGTCCTCTTCCACAACATCTTCATCCCCGCTTTCCTCCTCTAAATAAAAAATGTATGACAGTGGAGACTCATCCACGACCTCCGACACAAAACTCCATAGCGTTCCTTGACAGTGTCGTTGCTAAGTGCTACTTGGTCCAAATGTAATTTCCCGTCTGGAACCTGCTAGCTTTAAGTTGCTAACTGGTTAGCAAGATGCTTCCGACAAACCGGCCACAACCAAACTGGCTTGCGAACCAACAATCCCGCCCCCTTGATAATCGACCAATCACATTCACTTTATTCACTTGTGTAAAGTCGTGCACCACTCAGGAGAATTCAGAAATGCAACGGTTGGAACGATTTGAACCGACTGCAGACAAAGACTTTTCTACAAAGATAAACTAATTTTATTTCCACTGCATCACTTTGTCTTTGTGTCGGTAAAAAGAAACTTGACTAAACAGAAAAAGCTTTAATCTGTAGTTTTGTAAGGAAACATATCAGCAACAGTCTGTGATTTTAACCTTTTCAATTATTCTGTGTTTAGATATAAACAAAAACCAATAACGTGGTGAAGACCTTCCTTCAATTAGCAAATACAACAAACTTTGTAATCTTGCTGTTTAGAAGCACACAGACAGAAAACAGCATTAAAACAACTTTATGCAAATTGGTTAATCAGTTCAGCAAGCCAACATAATTAACATGACTACACTATGTATTGTTTGCTAGATAGCATCAAATGTCGTGGGATAAAACTGCAAATCCATAAAGTCACCAGAATAGCTGCATTCAGAGCTGCTGTTTTGGAGGAAACACATCTTATCTCATTAATTCAGGGCCTCAATAATTACTGGGCTAATTAAAACGCTGAAACTGTATCGTTCAAATGACTTCATGTCTAGGGTGGCACTGCAGCATCGCCTGTGTTTGCCTTCCCAGGCATCCGGATCCACATGCAAATGCCCTCTAAAGTAAATTCAGCAATGCAGGAGCAGGTTCATACCCATCGCACATTAATATTCATCAGCCCATAGAGTCTGTAATAAAGACGCTCAGCAATGTGAAGAGGGAGGACTAGACAGTTGCAAAGGGACAGGAAGGCCAGGGAATCAAATCTGGCCGGGGTGGTGGGAAAATACACATTGAATGAGACCTGGGGAAGGAGAAAAGGTCTGCTTACTTTTTTAAAAATTGGAATTGATAAAAATCGAGCTATAAAGTGAGGAAGCTACTGTAAAGAAGAGGGAGGAAAGTCAGACAGAGAGACCTTCACCTTTCTCAAATCACTGCTGAATCCAAAGTAGGCAGAATTATTTTAACAAGCTGTTCTGTGTGTAACAGCACATTAAATAATAGCAGCACATGTAGTCCTACAGAAGAGGAATAGTAACAATAATCCAGACCTGCAGAGGAAATGTTTCTAATTGCTGTATATATGATTATGGGAAGTTTATTACAGCTAATGTAGATCAACATTAGATGAAAATGTGTCAAAAAGATCAACTGAAAGCAAGAAAATATTTATTAATGAGCTTCTTTCTGTTCAACTCAAAGAGTTTTACTGAAGTAGTTGGCTTCATTATATTAATTCACATTTTGCACTTTTTTTCAGCTTTTATTGTCATTACACTGTCACAAGTACACAGCAACGATATTCCCTCTCTGCATTTAACCCATCCCCTTGGGAATGAGGCAGTGGGCTGCCATTGTGCGGCGCCCAGAGTGGGCTTAAGGGTCTTGCTCAGGGACCCAGAGTATTAGTCTGTGGGAGTGGGGTTTTAACTCTGAACCTTTGGATTCCAAGCTCAATGCTCTAACCTCTCGGCCCCCACTCCCCATGTTGCAACTGTAAAGTTTAGACAAACTTAAAATCAGGGTTTTCCTGATGGAGGTTCTTTCCAGGATTCTTTACAAGAAACTTGGAAGCTCAAATTTACTGGAAAGTTTTGTTTCCTTTGGTGATTATTTAGCCTTAAGCAGGCTCAAATCCAGTAACCTTGAGGTGGGGTTCAGTATCTGTAAACCAGGGTGGTTTAGTTGACACAATGAGACCGCACGACCAGAGAATCGGCCCGCAAAGGGCAAATAATCATACAGTGTATGCCCAACTTAAACAGGAATGCCGTTTTTTTTTTAATTAGGCCCTTGATTTTACATTCTTACATCATGTCCTACTCACCCATATAAGTTTTGTGTCAGTTGGAGTTGTTCTAAAGATATTCCGTTTTGTATTATCCAAGTAACGTCTTCCTATGGGCACAAACTAAACTGTTCATAATTTATTCTTTATGGTACGCCAGCATTTATAACGTAAGCGAATCACTGTCCCCCAGACATCCGCAGTTATATTATTTATATTTATATGTTTTAAAAACAAAGCGGTGCGTGTGTGATGTCATTTGCGCATGCGCACTGGAGTCGTGACAGGAAGTCCACGCTACAGGCGGCTACGCTCTATTCCTTCTATTCATTCAGTAGCTAATCTGAATCGTTCAATTCCATTTCGAGAGCGAGATCATCTGTGGTAGCAGCACTAGACATCTTCCAAGTATGTCAGTAAAACTAGCAGCAGTTCAGCGGACAGGATGAAAAAATGGTAGCCGGCGTGCGAGGATGACGTCATACACGCGCCGCTTCATTTTTAAAAGATAAAAATCTAAAAAATATAACCGCGGATGTCTGTGGAACAGTGATTTGCCTACATGTTATGAATGCTGGGGTACCATAAAGAATGAATTATGAACAGTTCAGTTTGTGCCTTCAAGTCGTTGCCCATAGGAAGACGTTACTTGGATATAACAAAAGGAATATCTTCAGAACGGCTCCAACTGACACAAAACTCATATGGGTGAGTAGAACATGATGTAATAACGCAAAATCAAGGGCCAAATGTAGAAAAACCGGCATTCCCCTTTAAATGATAACAATGGACCAATAGGAGCCGAGTACAGGTACAGGCCACACATTTCAGATTTCCTTCTTTGTGCAGGATTGTGTGTGCTTCTGCTTTTACTGACCAGGTGGATCTTTTTATCTATCTTATATATAAAATAATAAAATACATTCATCTTTGTTGATGCAATGGTAAACAAATGCTGAAACCCTACAGCAGGCATTCTCAAAGTCGGTCCTTGGGAGCGGCTGTCATGCAGGTTTAAAAGGTTTTCCTGCTCTAGCACAGCTGATTATGATGATTGCAGTTGGGCAAAAGCATGTTAATTAGTTTTCAATTAAAACCAGCTGTGCTTGAGGAAGGAAACATCTAAAACCTGAAGGACAGCGCCCCCCAAGGACCGACTTTGGGGATGCCTGCCCTACAGGGTTAAATAGAGACAGGATAAAAGTGTTGACTCACCGTCATTGAGGTCCTGCAGCAGGTTCTCCTGACCAGAAAAGTCCAGCTTGACTTTGATGCTGATGGTCAGAGTCACAGTCTGGCCAGGCTTCAGTGGAAGGTGACGTAATGCTTCCTCTAGGTCCCAGCTGAGAAATTTCCCAAACACTTTTTCTGCAACAACAAAGAAAGAAACACATGTATATGAGTGGGAAGAGGGGGTTTGATTGCACGTGCTGCTGGTTGAACAACACAAAGCGTGCCTGTGTCACCATGACGCTTTTCTGTACCCCTCACCAACCTTCAAACTTTAATTTATGCCTCCAAGCCTTTCTAGCAGAGACGAATGACTCAGCTGCATCCACTTCAGGCAGGAGCAGTGAATGAATGAAACATCACCTGAATAAAGCATGTGCAGGTGAGCCGCTCCTGACGGAGGAGATGCTGCAGGAACGGCGAGCGTTCCACGCACGAGCACAGCCAAACACGAGAGCGCAAACACAACAGTTTCACAACACGTCCATTCAGCACAGAAGCCCCTAAAATCCTCTAAAGGATGTGAATGTCTGCAGCATTAAATAAACATTCAGTGAATAACACTGTCTTAATTATTCATAAAGTCTAAGCTCTTGGGTTGAATTAAAAGTGAGAAACCCGAAAGACAGAGGGGGATGATTTAAAATATATTTCGGTGAAAGAAAAGGCCATTTTCTCAGATGTGCAGCATCAGGCTTAGAAAGTTAACAAGCAGAAAGCTTGGGTAGCGGATGACATTATTGTTACTGCATCAATGAATCACGGACTCCATGTTGAAGCAACCAAAATGACCGAGGAGAGAAATTCTTTATCTATTATCAGAAACCCAGAGAGATCATAAATAATTTCTGACCAGCTAAACTTCAGAGCTAAAACTAAAAATAAAACATACCAAATTTACCAATAAATAAAATATATGTGAAAACAAGTGGAGTGGATGGGGTGAATCATAGACAAAAATCACATATGACGTTATGGCAACAAACCAAATGAACCATTTTATTCAAAGCAAACATTAATTTATTGCAGCATTAATTACCTGCCTGGATGAAAAAGCTCTTTTTGTAGCTTTGGGAGGCAATTTATCTAACTCAGCTGAGAGTATATATATACTAATCAGACATAAGATGACCAATACTGCCTGAAGAAGAAGAAACACTGATTAACTCTCCAAAATGAAGCCTCCAGTTTGATATGTTGTGCAACTGTTTTATTTTTCTTCTTATTGAAGTTATGGAGCAGACAGTGCAAAGATTGGTGTGAGGACAACAAGGGAACATTTTGATAAAAGGGTCAGATCACCCTTTAAAATGTGCGTCTGCAGAGATTAGGATTAATTAAAGCTTTTTCTGAAGATAGAACATCAGGTCATGGCCAGCCTAGGTTAACATGTTTGGATTAGGGATGTGTTAAAGGAAGCTCCGTGTTTACACCTTGAAGTTTTCTCTCTACTATTTTTTTTTCCTGAAAAGAGATCACTCAGGAAACACTCTTTAAATAACACTTCATAATGTATATGTTTTAAATAACCAGGAGACATGGCTACAGATTTTGATAGAAATTGTAATCTTAGTCAGATCAGAGAAGTTGCTTAGAGTTACAGAAGACAGCTGTTTAACAACAGGGCTCACCTATTGTGAATTGGCCCTGATAAACAGATAGAGAAGCATTTTATACTCCAGTCTGCCACATCATCACATCCTTACATTATACACCAAGGTTTATACAGGAATGAGTAACTCTAATTTAATACTTTTTAATGCCATCAACAAGTACCAATGATTCTCATATATATATATATATATATATATATATATATATATATATATATATATATATATATATATATATATATATATATATATATATATATATATATATATATATATATATATATATATGTGTGTGTGTTCTTATAACTTTTTTTTAAAATAAAGCATTCTAAATGCCATGATAATCACATTTAAAGAATGTTAATGCCATTGAAGGCCTTAAGTTAAAAAAATAATAATTTAATGACTTTTAATGATATGCAGAAACCCTGTACACGTCAGCAGATGAGAGGACATCCATGGCTCCAGCCTTATCAAAATATTACACTTTATTCTTAGCTGAAGGACACCACTCTCGTTGCATTCCCAAATATTTGCCACGTACAGAATAAAGATTATAACTGTATAAAGCTAATTAGATAAACTACAGAGGAAAACATCAGTTCTGACACGCAACAGGCAGCTAATTTTAAGGTTGAATAAACATTTTATCAGTGATAACTATCCTAACAAAGGGAAAGAAATATACATCTTATGATTAACTGTTTATTAATAGTTGGTTAGGTTAAACTTTTGTTTCATTTGATTAATGAATAAAATCTGCTTAAAGAATTTGCTTTATTGTTGCAATGTTATAACTATCCACCAGGGGTTCAGTAGATGAGCCTCATTAGTGTTTGCAAGAGAAGTAATGCAGGATCAAAGGCATGAAAGAGTAGACCATGAATGGATGAACACTGTTTAACGTGACAATGATGCAGAATTATCTTTTTCTTTCTATTTGTAAATATAAAAAATGGATAACCTGCTAAACCTAATTAGTGCCCATTTGGCCATGCCGCACGGCGGCTCAGAATGTAAAAAAGGAGGTTGAAATATTTGTCACATGATGGAAAAATACAAAAATGCTAGCAAATTAGCAAGATATTTGAAGAAGACTTTTGATTTAATGCACTTCATGGAGCAAGGTTTAACATTGCTGTTAAACACTAAGTCTCTCCCAGGAGTGATGGTATGATTACACTAAAAACAAAGAGCTATATCACAGTTAGCGTCCGCTTCTTTGAAACTAAGTGGCAGCTAGTCTGACAGCGTGTTGGAGTGACATACCCTGATAATGATAGATTTAGGTCTCTGTACATTGGAAATTTTACGTCTTTCCCCTTTATTATTCCTTTTTTATTTTCAGTAACCTAATAGGTTCCTGTTTTGTTCTACCTAATAATAAAAAACATCTCCAAATAAATAATACAAGAAAACAGTCAGTTTTTAATGCATACGGCACTATGAAAAGTTCATATATACTGATGTACAATTATATTACATCTCAGCATTTTGTACAAAATGTTTAACCATTCATGCTATAAAAATATCCTGTCAATACCAATCTGACTATGATGTGGTTGAATTGTCTATATAAAGTACCTTGACATTAAGTGTTTTGAATTTGTCCTTTATAAATAAACTGAATTGAATTACATTTCTGCAGACTTTGGTTTTATTGGTTACTGGTGCCACAGCAGAGGTCCTAAACGTTTATTAGTCCATAAATCTAACACATTTCTAACCCAGGTTGGCCCTCAACCCCTCTTTTATCTTACCTTACTCATTGTTTGTACATTATTGTACAGTAAATCCATCTGAGATATTATATGTTGTATAATGACAATGTTGAGATTCTTAAAATGTTTTCATTGATATTCAAAACTCTCAGCCAAACCGACTATTCGTTGTAACCTACATTCATTGACAACTTAATCATAGATCCTGTTCTCTTTTTCCCCCTTAGCGGTAGTGTCTTCCTGTCAGTGTACCTACCTACCTATACATCCATAGTTTTTATTACACTTGAGCATATGAACAGTGCCCAATAAAAAAACTGAATGGATGATGGACGGTTGGACCGTTTATCATCTGTTCAATTTATCAGTTTGATTTTTCTGAGATATGCATACTTTGAGGTATTACACTAAATCCTGTTGTTAGATGGATTATATTTAAAAGACTCAGTTTAGACCAGTCTGGGAATAATCCCACCTCGGTGTGTTTGGTCAAACTGAATTTGGATTCCCACAGCTGCCTTTTATTCTTTGTCTTTAAATAAATACTGAATGTATACAAACACACACTTAAATACTGGTCCTGTATACTTCAGCTTCTCTTTTATTTTGTTTTGTGTTCTCGACATATTTTGCTTATCTCTATTTGATGCAGCTGATGGAAACCGGTGTCCAATTCCTTGCTTAATGTACCAACCCTCAAGTTATCTTGATTCTATTCAACAAAAACTTTACATTAAAGTGTTTGTTTGCAGAAAACATGGTTGCAAAGTCAATGTATTTACAGTTCAATGAAAACTATTGTAACACCTATTACATGTCACAAAACTGATTACTATATTATAAGAATGCTTTTATTATCCACCTAGTGTTTGGAAATGGGGAGCCGTCATATGTTAAAGGATGGCTGTGTCTGCACGCTGGCAGAAAGAGTAATGTTTTGTTTGTTTCACAACAGATGTCATCCCGTTAAGACTCTTCTCATCTTTTATTCATTCAGTTCCCAAAGAGGATTCAGCAGCACAGAAAGACGCTGAACTGCTTTCTGTACAAAGCCTACGATGCAAGGAGAATCACTAGGGGTTAGGAGGTCCAGGGGAAGGTAGATGAAAGGTAGTTCCAAAACAAAGACTACAATATCGAGTACCGCATCTATCAGATGTATACAGTATGTGGAAGGTAAGAACAAGAAGCTTCGCTGGTAGAAATAAATCTGTTTTTGACCGCATGAGAGAGAAAAGAAAACCATCTTACTTTATGTAAGTTTTATAATTAGCAATGAGAGACTCAGAAGAAACAAAAAGGTCAGAAAAAGGAACTTTAACACAGCAAATACTGTAAAAATGCTAGCTCCCAGCTTAAAAATCCTTGGCTGGGATTCAAACCTTAGACCCTCTAGCTGCATGGCAACAGTGTTGCGCGATGTACCACTGGGAATCCCATCAAACTGTCTTATACTACTAGAAGCATTTCATTTCATTACATCTTGCTAAAGGACATCAGCTGCTAAGCAGGTTAATAGATATACAAACAAGCTTTTCTAAGCTTAAAATGGAAGTTTCCTCATTTAATAATCATTTCAATCTGACAAAGAAGACTTGGTAACAAATAACAGAAGACAACAATGAGTGGAAGTAAACGTCTGATGAAAACTGCCCATGAGACATGATTCAACTTGCAGGGAAACATGTTTAAACAATTGCTTTTAGTGGCAGTGGGAGCAGCTCACTGACATACCTACACGGGTCCAACGACTCGGCAAGCGACCCGCGTTAAATCGCCTCGTCTCTGATCGGCATCCTGTGGG